CGTACGAATCGAGCATGGAAGACACACACTTAGAAAGAAATGTCTGCATCTAAAAATAAATTAAGTTGTTTATGTTCAAAAATTGTTGCTGTTGTTTATCTGAAAAATCTTTTTTTATTTGTGCTCTCCTGTTTTGTATAGACATAGTAGTTCCATGTCGGAATATTATACATATATACATGAAAAATGATGTATTTTTTGGTTTTTTCTTCGACTTTATTCTTAAATCCAGAAAATTCTTCATTAAAATTTGTTTTTATTGTAGACGACAGATGTGTTGTTGTTGATATTGGCTCTTTTTTCTCTGATTTTCTTAACGCGCTCGCTTTTCTCTTGTTTGTTTACACTTATTTTCATTTGCTCTTCTTTTTCTGTGTTTGTTTTTTAAAAACGACTGAAATAAATCTGTCATATATCATACATACGGATTGATCGACGTCGGGCAATAGGATTTTCGGCAATGGATTTTCGACAATGACCAAATTCCACTTTGGAAGTTTGGCAATAAAAAATTTTTTTATGTCTGTATACTTAAAGTAGTCATGTCAGTTTTATTGATAATAACACAGACTCCGAGGCCCGAATGATATGGCTGAGCATCGACCCCAGTCTGTTCAGTTTCGGAGCTATGGGCGCGTCTATGTGTATGCTCTCATTAGCGACCAGAGGCAAAAAAAATTTCCTGCTCTTTCTGTGCACTCGTCAATATATTGAACGGATCTCCTGTGAAGATAGGCGGCGTCGCTGCACTGAACTCAACCACCTTTATGATTGAACCACTGGGACAGTATGGATGTGCACGAAAAATTCATATGTTGATTGCGTTCTGGACAAAGGACGCGTTCAATTCAAGCCAGCCACTACAATCATTCGTGACACACGGACAATGGTCATCGATGGTGCGACCAGGAATCTGACATTCCAGTGGCGGAAATCGTTCAAGAACTATTGGACCATATACAATAACAATGCGGAGCTGATCAGATTTCTGATGAGCAACCAGAAAAACGGTATCAGTCCAGAGCTAACAGCCCATGTCATTTCAGAAGTATACGAGCATACGCTCAGAAATTTTAAACTGAACAATGATGGCTCAGTTACAATCAACAACACAAATGTGTCTCTCTAGTTTTTATGCACTACCAGCAATGAGGAAATATGTCACGTGTCCACAGTACTTAATAATCTCAGTCAACAACAGATTTCGTCGTTCGGCGAGATTCTGAATCATTCTGATAATAATCATCACGGAGTTTGGAGCACTATTTGATTTTTGCACAATAGGTATGGATTTTCGTTTAAACATACGATCGAAGGACTGATAAAATTATGGGATTATTGGAAAAGTCATCAATTACAACACAGATAAACTACAGTTCCAGTAGTTCTTACCCAGAATCCTGGCCAAATTGTCATTGGTCGCGGACATGTTTTGGATCTGGTTCAAATCAGAAGTTACAGTAGTAACACAATGAAAATGATTGTGACACAGTTACCACAACTGAGCCTGGAAAAAACAAATAATCTGAACCGATTGCGGCCGAGTTTTCAAAATATTTGCCTGCTCAATTGGTTGGATAAGAACACTACATCAGGAACATTGGTGGGCCGGGAAAGATTTTTTAGGGGTAGGAGGGAGCAATAAATTTTTAGAGTTGTGCATACACAAAAAAAATAAAAATATATAATTCGAAATATAATTCTTCACAGGGTAATAACTACTTATTGTCCTTGATATTTTTTTCCAGGAGGGGCAATTGCCACAATTCCCTCTGGCGGCCCGCAAATGATCAGGAAACTGTGACATCAATCGAATACTGAAGTTAGAACTAATTATGGATTTTTCACTAAAGTCTCTATAAAATTATTAGATTGTAGAACAATGAATATTGACGGAAAAATTAGAATGAGCTTGACAAAATTGGAAACAGTCTAGGCATCGCCATTCATAACAAAGATTATGCAAGAGAGGTTAATTTTCTGCAATTAGTCAAAAGTATTTCTACAAATGATCTGGCTTTAGATTTGCTATCGAAGAAAAATTCAGCAGTTAACCATTTCAGATCACGTTTACGATTGAGTTTTGAGCCAGAACAATTACAAGCATTTAACTGGTATGTGTCACAAACATCACAATTATTGAAATCTGTTCCCTCAATGGATAGTTTGAGATTTAATGAACAAGACCGATTAATAACGATGATGAAAAAATTTTAACAAGGGCAATTTGAGTTTAGTAAAACATCAAATAACTAAATTCGCGTGCAAAATGAGCCCGAATAATGTCAGCGAATTTGCGTCGTATTATGAATTTGTGATTGAATATTACATAGAATGCGAAAAGAATGTAGATATCAATTTAAAAAATGATATAAACGACCGAAAAATTATCCTGAGTAAGTTAACTTATCGAGCAAAGTTACAAAAAACAAATATATATTTAAGTTTATTTTTAATGTGAAAAAATAATTAATTCGTATTTTTTTATTCCATTCTACAGAACAACAATCTCAGTTGAATGGATCTGGCTCTAAAACACATATTAACCAGGATAGATTTCAAAATATGGTATTCTTGTACAATTACTATAGAAATATAGCAATAAATAATGAAATGGTTGGCATTTGTCAATTGGACAATGTTTCTGGTCTGACTGGGCGTCAACTTGCCGAAGCTATTCGCCAAAAATCTATTAACTTTGGTTCCGAAGCCGAAGTCGCTTATCATATGTGTAAGAAAAGAATCGAAAACCCGTCTCGTTATGTGAAATGGGCTAATGATACCATTAGTAATCCGAGATCTAAAATTACACTAAAACTAATTATACAAAGTTTTATGCAACTCAAGAAGGCAACCCACGCAGTATTTGGTTCCAGTTATTTCATCAAGATACAAGATATGCCGACACAGTGATTGTGATTATGACAGTTGATTACAAACTATTATTAGCTTCGTTCACTCCTAATATGTGATCTTAAAAAAATATATATTATGGAAATTGTTTATAATATAAAATTTTTATTTGTTGGTATATAAAATAACAAATAAATAAACCCTAAGTTAGTTTTAAAGAGTCAAGATTATTATTATCTATTCATAAATTCTTGAACGAAATTTTGAGTTTGAAAGGCAGTCAAGAAGCACTAAAAATCATTAGGACAAAAATAAAAATATAAGGAACCCAAAACAAAAAGAAAAGGTAAGTTACGATAGGGAGAATATGAGAGAACCCAGAAAGATTAAGAGATGTTGAAAGAAGAGAGAGCGAAGCATTGAAGAAGTTAGATGAAGAATCACAAAGCCTGCGTTCTAAATTGGTGGTAGTGGAGTATGAAAAGATATTTTTGGAAACCAACTTGAGGAGGAAAAAAGCATTTTTAGCCAGCAAAATTGAGGAATGAGAGAACAAACTGAGTATATATAGTGAAATTAGAAACGAGAATTCTTAGAAGGTGCATTACAAGCGCTTTGTGAGAATAAATTTCAATCTTACATAAATAAAAGAGAATGCTTTGAATTGAAGAAAAGAACATTGATAACAGAATGAAAAAGGGTATGGATAATTTAAAGCAGAGAACAAGATAATATCTTTGTGACAAGCAGCTATCGATCCTTGACGAGCATACAAGGAGAGCTAGATACATGACTGCATTTACGAGTTGATTTCTATACTTGAAGACTTATTTGTTTCTGTTTCCACCATCATGAGCCTTTTTATTGTTCTTGTCGATAATGATACCATAGCTACGAACATCATTAAGATTGACAAAATACTAACGTTTACACCATTGAATATGTTGTTGTCCAAGAAGATGGAAAAGAATGATAGAGGACGATAATATGATTATGATTTGGGAGCAGATTAACACGGATGAGAAATAGAAGAACATATTGAGATTCTAACTAACGATATTTATTTAGTTTCAGACATTAAGATGCAACAGCCATGAACAAGAAATATAATTTAAATGTAGTAACACTTGAAGGAGAATATATCTCTAAAAGTGGATTCTTTTTTGGGTTAGTTAGATATTAGTATCAGTATTAGTATTAGATAAAGTTTATTCAATAAAATGAAAAGCCCAAAACTCGTCTCATTCGGGCTCTGAAGGTGCTCATTCTCGATCCATATTCAAATAAACTAATACACACGATGTTAATATACCAGATCATCGTGCTCAAGCTAACAGCATTAATAAACATCTTAATAAACATCTATAAAGGTGCCAATTTAAGAATGTTTTTTTTTACAATTCTTCGAAAATCTTCACAAAAATCCAAAGGAAACCTTACGTCTATCGAAGTTTTTAAACTGGATACCTTTCGTTTACAAGGTGTACGTTTCAACCTATTAAGATAATAGTTAAAATTATATCTTTTCATAGATAAACTGATTTATTATCTCGACTCCATAACTTATCAAAAATATGTATGTTTGAAATTAGAAAAAATAGATCAAAATCGAATTGTTTAAACAGATTCTAAAGTAGGTGTTGGGCATCAATATCTATAAATTGGTAGATGGGTGTGGCTTTTTCTTAACAATAAATGTTTCGTCCCTCATTACCGTGGTGCCCCATTTCCTAAAATACTTGAAGAAACTTTTCGAAACAAAATTTTTATATCAAAAAGTAGTTGAGGGATAAAAGTGTTTTGAACGACTTTTTCGGCAGATCTTTTTTTATGTGTGTCGTTCAATGCAGCATAACGTGCTGGTTCTGATATTGTGTGCACACTGATGTTCTGGAAAACGTTTGTCTTATAGATTTTATTTTTAAAAAAACAGAATAGACAATAAAAGTATATTTTGTTTAGATTCTTGCAAGAATAAATAGAATATGTAAAAATAAACTAAGTGGTAAACAACAAAAACACAAACAACTGACAATGTGCGCTAGATTTAAATAAAATAGAAATAAACTTTAAAAATACAAATAATATTTTGTTTTTTTAGTTCTACATCTACTATTTGGGTGTGAGTGTCAGAAATGAGATTATTGTTATGCGAGACTATCAATTCTAATTTCAAATTCAACTGAACTATCTGTTTGATTAATAGGCTTAACATCGCCCGATACCATTGTGCATTTTTCACCTTCACAAACCATTAGTTCATATTTTAATTGAGCAACATTTTTGTCTCGAGGAATGTAATCTAGGAGAAATGTATCACTCGCATTACGAGTTAATTCACCATCACACACTTTAAAACCATCTAAAAAATATAATTAAATTATTATTAAAACACTTTTGTATGAAAACAAATGAAATATTCTTTTCTCACAGATTGATGATTTTGATCTCATTTCCATCACGTTCACTTCACTTACCTTCATCTTCAATATTCCATGTTCCCGCTGGTTGTCCACTGTCTTTTTCTCTTAATGTTATATTTTCTGGTAAAACAAGGGTCAAATATGCTTGCTTTGAACTAAATGTTCGTTCTTCACTCGTTTCACTAAGATCAAATCGAACCTATTTAAAAGAAAATAGAGTCATTTTCATTAAGATTTACACATATTCTCTATACATACTCTAACAACATTTCCGTGTTGAAGATCAATTCTTTTAACGCATGAATTATTCGTATCAGCTACCCACATGAAATGTTCAAATATCACAAGCCCCGTTGGTTCATTGAATTTGGCTGAATTTGTTTCTCCACGCTGCTTTCTCGTATCCGTATCTTGAAGAAAATAGGTTTTACATTGACGTTGTGGCACATCAACGCATTTCAGTTTATTATTGTACGTGTCACATAGATACAAATGATTTGTCTCATAATGAAATGCTATACCAGTTGGATGTTGTAATTTAGCTGACATAGCGCTACCGTCTAAATCACCAAATGCAGATAAATTCTAAACAAAACAAAAAATATATTTAAGATGTTGTTTTGATTGAAGTAAAATTATATAGTGTTTTTCGATAGTTTTCGTTTAGAATACTAGAATGGAATATTTGCCCACTTGTAGTCTGGCAGAATAAAGTTTATATCAAATTATATAACAGCAATGTTATATAAGAGCGTCTCGATTATATCCTTAGCTTTCTTTGGTGTTATATTAGTTTTCTTTTTTAACTTACTGTTGGATCAAGTTCTCCTCCGACTAAATTTTGAACATTTCCATCTTGTAAGGAACAGACTCGTATTGTTGAGCTATTACTGTCAGATATGAATAACACTTGTTTTCCATCCATGACACCTCGACATATTCCAGTTGGTTTAGCTAAACATGCTACCATTGGTTGAGAATCATTTTTATTTTGTTCAACACCGCTACCAATAATAGCTGAACATGAGTTTTTCGATAATACTCTATGAAAAAAATCAAAGAGAATAAATATATTACTGTGCGAGAAGACTGCTGTTTATTTACATATTGTTCCACCATTGTGTTTCTTCAAATGCATAGACCCAAATTTGATGGCTACCCGCCATTGCAATTAATAACACATGTTTATTGTCAACTAAAACGAAACAATGTTAATATCATTCTTCGAAAAGAAACAAATTCTCCCGAAAAGAGAATCTAATCACATTATATTTCAAATATATGCCTGAAACAGTAACAGTTTTGAATTAATAGAATGTTTAATGTAGAATTATAATTTGACTATCATGCAGGCACGCTTGTCAGTTGAGGGTGTCTTCCTTGTACTCAAGTTATTTTTGCAATAGATAAATGCAAGACAGTAGACAAATATATAGGACGATAGAGAATTTCCAGCGCTATCAGAATATACTTAGGGCTGACCAAAAGTTTTGATCATGGTGTGAGGAGAGGAGAGCTGAATCACCGTTCTACGAACTTTTGGTCAACTCTAAGTATTAACTTTTTTTGTTTCTTGTTCGTCGAATCAATGAATGTCTCGAACTTACAAGGTGATTCAGCTAAGCAAACATCATATGGTGAAGCAATTGGTTGTTGTGATCGTTTCATTCCTCCAATTTTATCACTTCCTTGTCTGCCCGTTCCAATTAATGTTAACACACGACGAGAATTTAAATCGAACTAAGAACACTCATGAAGCTTAGTTTTACATAAACAAAAGATAATACTCTAATATTACCGCGCGTATAGCATGATTATTCGTATCAGCAACGTAAATAACATTATTATATTCGGCTAAGCCATGAGGTGAATCAAATTCACATTCACTTAATTCACCATCAGCTAAACCGGCCTGTCCAGTACCGATAATTGTCTTAAGAACAAAAGAAAAACAGATGATACATGTTATATATGATAAGAACAATAGCCTTACATCGACCTTTCCCGTCATATCACATGCAAGCAATTGATTACTACCAGAAAATGAGATAATTAATTCTCCACCAGATGTTACACAGATGTATGTCGGATAACGAAGTGTGGTCTTTGGAACTAAAACGAAAACAAAACAAGTAGGGCATATTATAATAAAAAGAAATTATTCGGTTTTGTGCTACTCAAAACGTGAAGTAGTTTGAAGCTATTTTGTTAAATTATTTCTAGAGACAAATTAGCTTTATAGTCACTAGTCCAACATGACACATTCTTCAAAAAAAGTATTGCTGTTTTGCTGTAGTTAGTTACTACCAGTACACCAACCACAAAATATTTGTTTAGATTGAAAAGTAAAAGCTTGTTTAAAAAAATGATTTAAACATTAATTTCATTGTCGTATCTTACCTGGAACTGTTGCTTGCGTGTTAAGATCTTCTATTGATATTTTATTTGTTGCTCTAACACTTGACTTATAATGGGTTAATAACGGTTGTAAAAATGTTTCCAAATGTTGAACATGATTTTCTCCTTCTAATATTAACAAAGGCACAGCATCTGGACTCAAAATCAAGACAGTTGGCCAACATTGTATGTCAATTCCTTTCCATGTTGCTAGTGCATTATCGTTCAATACCGGATATTCAATAAGTAATCTATCAACAGCATGACGAACATTTAGTTTCATCTTTTCATGTTCATATTTTGGAGAATGAACACCGATCATAGCAATCTTAATGGAGAATAAATAAAATAAGAAATAGTTATTCATACACATTACTGTCTGTACTCATACTCCAGCTGTTGAAAATCGTTTATATGCCATATTTAATCTTGGTAGAACTTGTAAACAATGAATACATGAGTATGTCCAAAAAGTGATAGCAATGATATTCTCGTGAAATAAATCTTTTAGTTGTAATGGATTTGCTTGAACATGATGAAGAACTAATAATAAACAAGAATAAATATAAACAGAGATGTAGGACCTATCAGTACCCTTAGAATTACTGAATTCTCCGAGCTAGATAATTCAGGTAAAAATTTCTTCTAAGGTGATCAACGTTAAAACTGCTACACGAAGCGATAAAGTACAACGATTAATCAACGCTAATAAATGAGAACAGCTGAACACATACAGCGAAACACTTTCCGTTTTTGTTCACATGTCATACACTAGCTCAATTTAGCTCACAAGGTCAGATCTTTGACAGAGCGGGAGGCAAATGTCGAAGCGACTGTTCATTCGTGGTAGTGAGTGCAGTTTGTAAACACAGAGGGCAAAACGAAATCTAGATATCTCAAGTGGTAAGAGTTTTCCTCTGTTATTCAACCTCTGACATTCGACTGGTTACGACGAATAGAGACAAAAAAAGAAAAATGATGCTATGCGAGATATCTCATGAATATCACCAACGAGATCGTATAAGTTCTTTCTTCATAAACCACTACAATTCGTGTTACTTTTTCATCAAAACGATGCATACTTACCAAGTAGTTTTTCGAATATTTCCCTTGTATATTTTCTCAATTCATCTATGTCCTCTCTCGATTGTAGTTTTTTAATATAGTCCTCTGTATATTCATCAAACTTTTCCGGATTTTTAGCTATTAACGACAATAGATCATATGTTAAATCACGTAGTGTCTCGGTTGTAAACGATGACATTTTTATGAAATCTAAAGTAGAATAGATATGAAAGAAGATGAAATAGCAGTTAGTTTTAAATAAGAAAGCATGTATCAGTTGTATATTAACCTTTAATTATATTACAAAAAAAGGTAATAAACAAAACAAATAAAAAAGATAAATAAATTTAATTTGAGCATGAAGTTAAACATAAGATTTACTTGTCATAAATATGTCCTGTTCTTCATTATTCAATATTGACTTTTTCCAACAACAAAATTTTTCACAAAAATGGTAAATACCTGGAATAAAACAGAGTACTTTATATATTAGAGGAATAATATTTGATATTTTCATTATATGAAACATGGACGAAAAGTATTAGAGCGAATCCAAGTAAGAATAACACAAATGTAAACATTGTTTCTGATTGACGTCGATTTAACTAACAGTAAAATGATTATTTCTTTACTGCTGCATTTGAAGGAAGAATAATGCCATAATTAATCGCGTCATATATTTTGTTATTTAACGTTAAATTGGTAAACATCTTTCAGACGAAATAAATTCGTTGGTGTAGGTTGTTCAACGGATGATATTCCTGTCGCATGAATATTTGTATGAAAGTTCCCATATGAATTCGATACGGGTACTGGCGTTTGGTGTTCAATAGATCAGCGATGATGACTTAAATTCCCATCTGAGAAACGAAGGTGAACACAGGAAAAAACTCTACACGAAAATTTATCATCAAAGAGTATGGTAGAAACAAAAATCGCTGTGTTAAAAAATTTTGAGATCCCTTTCTATCTCAGTTTAAAAAGAAAAAACTTCACAACGTATAAATTATTCTATATTAAATTTGAAATTCATTTAAAATGTGCGGTGTTCGATGGTTGGTTATAAAGACATTTAAAAGCTCAGAATCGGAACATTTTTGCACATGACTGTCAAAACAAACACTGTTAAAAATATTAAACAAAGGTTTATGAAGCAAACAACAGTATAAATACAAAAAAAAGATTTATTACAAAAAAAATCAATAAAAAAATTTGGACGGATTAATATCATCGTTGATAAAAATACATGGAACAAAATTGTTTACAGATAATCGATCAAGGTGCTTTTTGAAATAGAAACATTTTAATTCAACTAAATATTTCAATTCTCAATGGTATTAATGTACAAAAAATTAGTAAATATGGTAATCCTACGCATAAATTTACATCTGACATGAAGTACATGACTAATATAATGCAGACTGTTCAATGCAAAACAATGACTAAAAGAGAGAGAAATGAAACATTTGTCTTGTTATCAGTCTCGAAAAAAAGAAACATACAGAAAAAGATCTTTATATTTGAATATTTTCGAAAGATGGATATCCCAGATAACATTAATATCATTTCGATAGTAACCAAACCTAATGACACACCTGTCCACACATCCAGCTTAAGAAAAGAGAATAAGCACTTTGATGATAGAAATAATAATCTCTAACCGTACTAAACATAAAGCTGTCCATCATTCCATGTATTTAAAATACGTGTTTGTATCATGGAATCCTGAAAAAAGAATAGAAAAAAGAGATATTGAAGAAATTCATGAGAATTGAAATGAATGGAATAATACATACCCAGAAGACATATACTAATATGAGTAACGTTAGATGAATGAATAACGGAATACATCGAGCGGTATATAATTGTAAAAATGTCTCAATGTCTGTTTTTCTCATTGTTGTACGCACAATTGCTATTACATCTTGAAGAGAGAATCAATATGTTTTTTATTAAAAAATTGAGGAATGTGAAGTTCGTTAGACAATCAGACTTTTCAAAACGACTCTACAACTAGAAGGATGATGGCTCAACACGAGATTCGTGATAGAAAACAAACCGACTGTGAAAGATCAGACATAACGTTCAGTTTATCATATTTTTCGTCCCTCCGTCATTAAATTCATCCGAAGTATTTTATTATGCAATACTTTGCATACTGATCAAGAGTCGAAAGTTCAATAAATCGAAAATAGATCAGGAATGCTACTATTCAAAAACCGAAACGATATAGATCAAAAGTTCAATTGATAATCCTGATCTAAAACTGCCGGCTAGATAGTAGCTAGCTGGAGCTAGCTAAATGTACCGCTTTACCTAGGTTGAGCTACTTTATCGATTTTTTCTTTTGCTTGGGCAGAAGTATCGAACTTAATACTATATTCCTGGTGTATGAAATTTCCACTCACTTAACAAACTAGTTAAGTTTGAATGTAACTATTATTCAGTTAGTTGCTGAGAACTAAAACAGAGTTGTAACCGGTTGAGAATTTTCAAACTGATCTGATCCGGTTGGTTTAAAACTTTTTTAAACCGATAAAAACTGATCGGATCATTAATTTTTTTAACCGAAGAAAATCAGTGGTTTTAAAAATTTTCGTTTGTCTCAATTTGCACGAATTTTTACGATTCTTTCAAGAAGAGAGGTCCGTTCGCCTGAAAGCTGGTTTCTAATTCGCAACTGTTTATTTGTTTCGTTCAAATTTTACATAAAAAGCTAGTGTTTTCTAACAATAATAAAAATTAAAGTTTACTCTAAAATCTAGAGCCTTGTTTTCTGGAAGTGCTTGTTAGACATGTGTATAGACGCCAAAAAAAGCATTTGAGTTGAAATGGATGAGAAGAGATATAATAACAAATAAGATCATGTGACACTGTCACGTTTAAGGGAGCAAAACAATGTAATCAGAGAAAAAAAAGAGTTGAGAAGAACAGAAAAAAATACAGCTGATATTTTGAAACGAAACTGTTTTATCGTTTTGATAAAAGCACTAAACTTCCTCTCATGAAGTTCAACTAGTGAATTAACCGACCGGACTAGACCGGGTACAACTCTGAACTGAAGTAGTATTGGAAACTTCTTTTAGCATCAATTATATCTTACAGCAAACTGCTGCCGTACCTCTTCTTCGTCACATTCTTCCATTCAAAATATAAAGATAATATTTTCCATTCTGATTGTTCGAGTCAACTGTTCGCTCTACATTTTTATTTTGTTGGAAAATCTATACTGATCACACTTAATTAGCCTTATTATCCACGTTATGTCCTATATATATTTCTTTCGCGGTGTTGAATATTGTATTTAGAATACGCTCTCCTCTTGTCTTCCCAGCTTATACTGTTCATCGTCCTCACTACTCATCTATACGTCTTCATTACTCTAAATATGTTCGCATTTCATCTTCTGTTGATGGTTTTTCTCCGCACATTCTGCTTCTTTTGATTCAACTATTGCTGATTGGAATAATCTCCCAGAGTCAGTTATTCGTCTTTCTTCTTTAATGTCTTTCAAAACAGCTTTACTTCAGTATCTCTTCCAGTGAAACGTTTGTCAGTTAAGAAATTTATATTTCTTTTTTGCCTATTTTTTAAAAAATTTTTTTACTACTTCTGGTTCTAACCATAGTTGTCTTCTTTATTTTGTTATTTTTTATTACTCGTCTGGTGTTGTTTGGCTTGAGTCATCGTTATTACAGGTCGAGGACCTTTGATGACTCTCACTTTTCGTGAATAAACACTCGTAGTCTTAGCCTTAGTGTTGGCGAAGCTTTCAATCGTTTCCGTTATTGTGATCTGATAGCTGATGAATCATTAAGACACGTAAATAACTGTTTGATACTTTTACTCTATTCTCACCGATGAAATAAGAAAACAGATAAAACAGCCCTGAGCTCTCCAGTCTTCAAAATGAAACAAGAAGCGCAGTCTTTCGACAACTGTAAAAAGCAAACATCCATCGGCCAGGCAAAATATAGAAATGAAGCGATCAAAGAAATTTGAGCTCAAGACTTCTGACGAGACTTGACAATCGTTATGGTCAGACCTCAACATTTCAGGAAGTTCTCATTGCACCAATGTTCTAATAGCAAAGCGTACATACGCTTCGAAATTTAAAAATACGCATGTTTTACGCTTTGCTGAGAAAAGCAGAACATACAGTGTACGCTTTGGTATCGCTGTTTACGCTTCGTTGTTTTCTAATAGAACCATTTCGATTGGAAGAAGTGCAGAGAAACAAAAAGAGCGTTGTTTCCCTTTGGCTTCAAATAACAGCACCAAAAAATGGTCGGCTCCAAACGCGATTAAAAAGCATAAATCTAACGAACGCTATTGGACAACATCTTGTTGAAGCCGTGTATCTCGGATAGATGTCCCCAGCATCATAATGAAAATGTGGGACGAAAAAATGGGAGGGTTACCCCTCCATACTTTTTAAAAAAATTTGGTCAAATTTACTCCCAATTTGTGAAAAAAATATGAACGATTTACTCCGAATTCCGGAGAAACCTGAGGGATGATTTACTCCGATTTTGGTTTTTTCGAATACTAAAGTGCTGCTTTCTCCGAAAACTGATATTAAATGTGTTCTTTGAAGAAACTTTCTTAACCGACTTAGATGACTTATTTCTATTTTTTTCCGCCTACCTCTGAAAAAATTACAGTGAATGTAACGTTTAGGCAAACTTAATGAGTGATGCTCATCAATTATTTATACTTCACCATGGGCTCGGAGAATCACGGGCTTATTTTTGGAGACCTTACTCTCATTATTGAGGATCTTACTCCCATTTTTGGATTTACCGGTTAAATGTCTATAGACATGAAATAGCTGAACGCGGCAAGCGAGACTACTTCACCATAAGCTACGAAACTAAGCCGCTACTCCGAAATATAACACCGAGCACAAAAATCCTAATAAAATCAAGCTAACTATGTGTCACTCATTATATTGCCCGAAACACATCAAAAGAAACTACACCCCATCACCAGACTATTCGTCTACTTTCCCGATGTTCCATGGCACCATATGACATTTTACATTCATCACAACAACGCTCTTCGGACAACGATGAGGTACCCAAGAACTGAATAAATGATGATGCAGCTAGTAAAGAATGTCAAAGATTATACTATTCATCTCTGTCCGAGGTGTACCATGGCACCAGGTTTCATTTTTGAGCCGTCACAGCAACGCTGATTTGACGACAACGAGGTCATCTACAACTGAATCAATGATGCTGTAGCTAGTGAAGAATGCAGAGAACGAAACTATTCATCGGTCTCCTAGATGTAGTATGGCACCAGATGACATTTTACTTTCGTCACAGCAATGTGGATCTGATGACGACGAGGTCCACAAGAACTGAATCAGTCATGATGCAGCTAGTGAAAAATACTAACGAGCAGACCATTCATCTGTCTCCTAGATGATCCATGGCACCACATGCCACTTAACTTTCGCCCAAGCAATGCTAATCGGACGACGACAAGCTGACCAACAACTGAACAATTCATGAGACAGCTAGTGAAGAATGTCAAAGATCATGACGAAACTATTCATCTATCTTCTAGATGTTCCATGACACCATACGACATTTCACTTTCATCTCAGCAAGGTGCATCTGCCGGCGCCGAGGTCATCAGAAACTGAATCAATGATGGTACAGCTAGTGAAGAATGCCAACTAGTAGACTATTCATCTGTCTCCTAGATCTTCCATCGCACTAGATGGCATTTCACCTACATCATAGCAATACTCATCTGACGATGACGAGGTCACGAATAACCAGATCATTGCTGATGCAGCTAGTGAAGAATGTCAAAGATCATGAAACTATTCACCGATCTTCAAGATGTTCTATGACGCCATACAACATTTCACTTTCGTCACAGCAACGATGATCTGACGCCGACGAGGTCTCCAACAACTGTATCAATCATGATGAAGCTAGTGGAGAATGCCAACCAGCGAACTATTCATCTATCTTCCAGATGTTCCATCTCACCATATGACATTTTACTTTTGTCACAGCAGCGCTAATCTAACGACGACTAGGTCACCAACAACTGAATCAATGATGTTGCAGCTAGTGGGGAATGTCAAAGATTATACTATTCATCTATGTTCTGGTGTGCCATGGCACCAGCTTTCATTTTAGTGCCGTCACGGTTTCACTGATCTGACGACGCTGAGGTGATCTACGACTGAATCAATGATGCTGTAGCTAGTGAAGAATGCAGAGAATGAACAGGCTAGCCATCTGTCTTCTAGCTGTTCCATGGCACCAGGTGATATGTCACTTTGGTCGCACCATCGATGATTTGACTACGACGAGTTCATCAATAACTGAATCAATGATGATGCGGCTACTGAAGAATGCAAATCATGAAACTATTCATCTAACTCTGAGATGTTTCATTGCACCGTATGACAGTTCACTTTCGCCACAACACTGCTCATCGGACAACGACGAGATCACGAACAACTGAATCAGTCATGATGGAGCTAGTGAGGACTCCAGATAACGAGACTATTCATCTAACTTCTAGATGTTCTACGACACCATACGGCACTTTACTCTCGTCACAGCAACGATAATTTGACTCCGCCGAGGTCACCAACACCTGAATCAATGAGCTTGCAGCTAGCGAAGAATGTCAAATAGTATATTATTAATCTATTTTCAAGATGTTCCATGGCACCATATGACATTTCACTTTTGTCGCACAGCGTTGATCTGAGGTCGACGAGGTCTCCAACAACTGTGTCAGTGATGATGCAGCTAGTGATGAATGCCAACCAGCAGACTATTCATCTATCTCAGAGATGTTCCATGACATCAGATGACATTTTACTTCATCGCAGCAACACTCTTCTGACAACGACGAGGTCACCAAGAACTCAATCAGTGATGTTGCAACTAGTGAAGAATGGCAAAGATTATACTATTCATCTATGTCCTGGGTGTGCCATGGCACCTGCTTTCATTTTAGTGCCGTCACGGTATCGCTGAGCTGACGACGCTGAGGTGATCTACGACTGAATTATTGATGATGCAGCTAGTGAAGAATGCAGAGAATGATCAACATCATGACCAAGAGGATGAAACTATTCACCTGTCTCCTAGATGTTCCATGGTACTAGGTGATATGTCACTTTGATCGCAGCATCGATAATTTGACTACGACGAGGTCACCAAGAACTGAATCAATGCTGATGCAGCCACTGAAGAATGCAAATCATTCATTAGTTTTAGATAAATGTAGGTTTTGGTTGGATTTTTCTTGACATCGACAGTTACAAATGCTGTTGCAGGAGGAAGTAGGACCTCTTCTTCATCGTAATTAGAAAGCGGCGATACGTCTAAGGCGCCTTTGTTGGTCGCATCGATAATGAATAAGGTATTGCCGAATTTTTGCGCTTTTTCACGGTTTTTGCTAGTTGAGGTAAAGCTATCCCAGCATCTTGTCTGTCCAATCGCTTCCTCATACGGTTTAAGCATCTTCTGATCGATGTTTACTCCTCGATAAAGTTCCGCTGCATAGTTCGTAGCTGTGTGTTGCCAACTTCTGAATAAAATGTAGCAAAATGGACCGAGAGTGTTTACTTTGGTCTTGTCGTTTTCTCGCAGTGCTTTATTCATTAGTTTGTATAAAAAGCATTCCATTGTGTAGAGCTGAATGCAACAGTTGTAAATGTCGTTTCTGTGGTTGTTTTCCACGGCTGTTAGTTGGCGAGCTATATATTGTGATTCACAATGTTGACCTAGTTGCGTTCCTTCGATAATTATTCCATCCGCTGCCTGTTTCACTATTTCAGCATCGGAAAGTTTCTTGCCTTCCTTCCACTGTGAAAGAAAAGTATAAGCGTCTTTGCCCCAGTCATTATTGAACGTTTTACTCAATGCTGGTGGAAGAAAGAATCTTTCTTCTCTTAAACCTTGGTTTTCATTTCTAGTAGTTTGAATTCGTTTTATTTGCCATTGCTTATTTGAATCCGATTTACTGATTTGAATGGAATCGTTTAAGTTAATCGAATAATTATCCAGATCAACTAGTTTTGTTTTATTTTTTCCAATAAATGCTTCTTCAATAATTGCCGATTCGATATCAGAATATTTTATCCATTCTTCTTTTCCATTTGTTGACCATGGATCAGAGTTCGATTTCCAATACCATTGAGCTTGTAGTTGATCAGCTGCTTTTATCGCTTGACTTGTCATTGATTAGACTGCTTGGAACTGATGAGTTCTGGAAACGTCCGTGGATCTAGAAAAGGCACTGAAAAAATACGTCCTAGGCAGCAAGTAGAGGTATCTAATGGCTATTTTAGTTTCATGATTAACGTTCACATTTTAGCTTTTAATCTTCTTGTTTGGTGGCACCTGAGTCTGTGTGAGGGAGATCCTTTCATTCATGAAGAAACAGGACAAGTTGATATGTAATCATGTAACTCGAACTGTATCAACAATGTTGGCATATTCATATGACATGAAAAAGTATTAATTGCAATCAAATGTGTAGTTTTACTTTCTAACATTAGCTAGTTTCTCACGTTCTAATTCAAAACTCACAGTGACACAAACATTTAGAGAATTGAGTCATGGTAAATGGGGTTAGACAATACCGACTAGCCTTTATATGAGAAAAACGTCTTGATGCTGTTTGGAATTGAACCGTGAAATATCTTTTACTCCCTGTAATCGAACGAATATTTTATCGTTCTAAGCATATATTAATCAGGCACTTTAACTCACTCTGTTTCTTATTCTGATGAAAGTGCAACCACAGCAAAAATGGCATCTTTCCTTATCGTTGAATAGCTTTGCAAATAGAATTCCTTTATTGTTCTACATAAATGGAGCATAGACAATATTGACTTTCTATTTTGTTATTTTGTTTTTCAATTCATGTCTGCTCGAAGAGAGTTCCAACAGAGAAGAGACTGATAATATTTCATTTCCATGGATACTTGTACTTGTACTTCAGAACAATACTGGTACTTTGTGCCTGTACAGGAATCCAGTAAGGGGTTGGCCAAAGCTTTTTTTTGGCCAAAGAAGAAAAACAAAAAATGTTCTTCTGTAGTATTTTGTATTTTTTTTTTTAATTAAGTGAATCACATATTATGGGAATGTATTCTCGTATAAATGCGCCTGAATATGTATGAATCAAATTAATTATAGTTTTTTTAAAGAATCGCACAAGTCTCAAACGGTCGAATCAGCCACTTTCGAACGTCCTACTTATGAACTGAAACATCTGCAAAGACTCAAAATAGTTCATTCATTAATTCAGATACACCACTTTGCACACGCGGTTCTATAGTTTTTGGGATAATCGTTACAGAAGATGACACATTTTTCCCGTAGAACGAAAACATGCAGTTTATTACTAGAATGCGGTTTTGCTTCGCACTACATTAAAAAGTTGTCTAAATTATTGCAAGCATAATAAATATGGGATGCTCTCTTAGTTTTCTTCATAAATCTTCACTTTTGAAACTTAAAATCGATCTTCTGTATTGTTTTAACATGAAGCAGTACAGTGCAAATATCTCACATCTAAAATCTTTCTATCATACATTTTTCTCAATAATCGCGTACCTAATGTGTATATGCATTAGGGAATAGCTCAGTTGTTTAGACTTAGGTAATATAACGCTTATTCTAGAAAACCATACATAAAACAGCAGTTTTTTGATAAATATTTCGAAGTTTAGCATATACAGCTACCTCCCCAAAAGAACAACGAGCATCGGAGAGACACGATATTCTTCCCTGCTCAGCCACCTTCAAACATTTGTGCTCTTTCGAAGAGCTTTAAAAAATACTTCATATTTTCGTTCGTAGAAATTTTTTATACTGTTACGACAGTATATAATTGTAAAATAAATATAAAATAAATGTAAAATAAATAGTAAAAAATTTGAATGCACTAGTTAACAACAAACAAACACGTTCAATACAACGACTATTACTCTATATGTACCGAGACCGTAAATGCTAGAAAACTATATATAACTGTGATCGTAATTCTTCTTCATCTTCCATTTTACATTCGCTAACATCAACATCATCAAATTTATACCAATGTGAACTGCCAGAGCTTTTCTCATCTCTAAAAGTAAAGTAAAGTATACCAGCCAAATGACGACTGCAGATACGATGATTAAGAGAATAGAGGAGTACACACTTATTCAAAACAAACGAATGCTAATGTCCACCGTTGGCTTGTCCACTATGTAAAATAATACCGACAAGTTTAAATTTGTTCCGTCAGCATCTGCCCAGATCAAACATTCATGATCGTATACTATAGTATTTCGTCGTATTTTGACGTAAACTCGACCAGCGTATTACGTCCATCGTAAACGACGTCGTTTACGTTGAAATACGACGAGATACGAAGGTCGTAACGGGTGACATAATATGTTGACCGGGTTTATGTCAAAATACGACGAAATACTATAATATACGTCAAATTACGTAGTCGTAATAATTTGACGTATAAATTTGACGTATACCACCGTATACGACGGTCGTAATCATGGACCTGGGTGCCTTTGTTTCGTCACCTCCAGAACTATCTTCTGAAACCACTGCACCTGTAATGTCATAACGAGAAGCACTGTGGAATTTGAAGTCTCGTTTCTATATGTATTTACTGTATAGAAAATTTTTAATCTTCTGCTTTTGCTAAACCTTGAACTATATACGATTCCATATTCAATTCGCATGAAAATTCAAAATATCATTGAATTTAATTGGCATATCACGATCCCAATCATAACCAAAGCGTTGTTCAATTGAATAGCGAGTACTGGTGGTTTCTTAAAACATCTTCGTTTTACTGTATCGACGCATATGTTCACAATAGTTAGCAATGAAATTTTCATGAAAATATGTCTATATTCTTTTGATTGTGTATATATTAATGATTGTGACTATTTGCATCGGACATCCAAACTGGAATGTTATTTACTTCTTCATATTCTTCATCTCTATAATCAGTTTCCATTCCATTTTCTCTACATTTTGTTTCGGTTGTTCTTATCTTTTAATTCGAGCTTTTTCTAATTTTGAGAGTTCAATAATATGCAATCGAAACCTCTCCCACGTCATAAAAGGAACCCAGGACGATGATTACGACGATCGTAAACGGTCGTAATATGTCAAATTACGACATCGTATTTTGACGTTTACGATAGTATTTCGTCATAATCTAGCGTTTTTCGTGGAGAAGTATTATGATGATCGTAACACTGTCATCGTATTTTGTCGTATTTCATCATAAACCACAGTTTACGACAGTCGTAATCCTTCTCCACGGTTCCTTTCGTCGTATTTTGACGTAAACTGTAGTTTACCGCCGTGTAGCTTCGACCTGAGAATATCTTTTTCGGAAAATTCGACATCGTGAGGTTTTGCGAATTCTATAAGTGATGAATTTTTTGGTTCATTATCCAAATAATCAATTAATTGTTCTTCCAATGCACTCTACTATGACGTTCTTGTATTTCTATGAGATAATCTATAAACTGGACATGCGGAAACCCATATATTTGGCAAAATTCACAAATAAGAAAGGAATCATAATTTAACACATTAAACGGTATTGCGTAATGTGCCTGCATTGCCGATAAAGTTTTAACGTCATACAAATTCGGTATGAAAATAGGGATGGTTTTTAGAAAATTGTTAAAAATAATTTTAACACTTGTAAACAGATCATGTAAAAAGAGAAGATGGAAGATCATGGAAGAGCAATAATATAGGAGACCACCAAAAAGAACCACAACTCATCACGGGCGAATATAGAAAATTTAAACGTTTTTAGTGTATACGGTGGAAAACTTTCTAGTCTGCCGTGGGTACTGAACCTTTTCATGACATACCCATATTTTCGATTGCGCTAAACTTGCACACTTCTAGATAAAAGCTTGACAGAAATACATGCAGGCCATACATCTATATTTCGACACTTCAAGCGCTGTGTATTCATTTGTCTAGATATCGTTTTAAGCTGTTTTCACTGAACATCATCACCGTGAACAGTTGTTTTAAATTTTTTCTGTTCTTTTCATGCATGTGCTGTGAAAGTTTCAACAATAAACTCAAACATCGATCAAGCACTTGATACAAACAATACAAAATTGTTATCACTGTCTGATTAATTGGACTCATTATCAATTGCATGTACATAAAAAGCTAACAGATGAATTGTGGGTCTTCTCAGTTTCCTATTGTAGCAACTAAAATCGTAAGTATTTTCATTGCTTCGTAGCAATAAAGCCAAAGTTTTGGGATTAAATAGGTTCACTAGGCCCAGTAGCTAAAAGAGCCTGAGTGCAATGGTAATCGTACGAATCCGATAATTCAATCATTCTGCATCAGAAAAGAAAAGGTTTCTTTTTGTTTTAAAAGAAATTAATCTATAGAACCGGATTTATCCCTGGATAGGTGTCACTAATCGTCTTGAATCCATTAACCCTATCGCTTACGGCACTAATATTCTACATTGTCTTCACTGCACGTAAGACAATCAAAAGTGATTTTCTAATTCTACTTCTATTTTTATTACTGAAGCTGTAATTGGAATGAGGTCCGTTGTCTCGGATAATGGCGTCGTCTTTGGCATAACTTTTGGAGATGAATTTTGTTTCTTAACGTGGGTTTCTCACTCGATAGTATGCTGAAGTCTATTGTCTAACTTTAACAAGTTAAATACCAAACAGATACTTGGCTAGAGACACCAGAAATGTCTCAGTCTATGGGTTAATTTGTTCTCCAACAATGTTGCTTTGTTCAAATGTTTTAATTAGAATGTTTATTTGCTAATTCCATCATTTAAAGAAAACCACAACAAGAAGCGAAAACTAGAGAGAAAATTCATTACTCCAGCTCAATGTTGTCTAATCGCATGTTCGTCGTGTCATTGTAGAATATAAGAGATCCACTGATGAGCACCATTCATTCTTCGAATGTTGTTATGCCTGTTGTTGGAGGTGTCGGTGAATTAGTAACAAATTCCTATCCCTCTCCCGTTAAATCTAACCATGACCAACAAATGCCGACATCAACTGTTTTTATACAACAAACACTAAACCACAATCACCATAACCACCACAATAATAATAATAATCGAACTTATAATAATTCTTCGAGCACAACATCAAAATCTGTTAATCATAATCAAATGTCTTCGGATGATGATGACGAGTTTTCACTATTGACAATAAAAACCTCTTTAAAAAGAAATAGATCACCTTCAATAACAGATGAGACAACTACAAATCATAAAATTACAGTAAACGAAAATACAACAGGGGAAAAGCAAGATCTTTCTCCTCCTATACCAATTATATTAACGGAAAAAACAATAACTAATGGACCAACAACAGTAACTGGTACCGCAGTTGTAAGACGGAATCGAAAAAAACGACAAACAGCCGATATTGATCATAGCTTAGGGTATGTAGGAATTTGTATGTAATATCCTTGTGATATCCATTTTTGTCACAATGTTGGATCTACTTTTATTTTTTGTATTCTCAAACACTTTACCAGTGATTTATAAAGTATTTTTATTTTCTGTTTAGTCGCCATTTATCCGCTGATAGATTACACGTGTATCGGTGGCCCAATGGCGACTCGTTAGCTGATTTACATGTTTTACAAGAACAAATTTGTGATTATCTAAGTCTGAAATCATTCAAAAGAAAATATCCTGGTACGGAAATTTTTTCTTTCTCTTAAATGAAGTTACAATATTGAATAATTGGCCATAATATTCTAGATATAACTCGTCGTGTTGTTGATTTACACGAGCGAGAATATTTAAAATCTCAAAATGTTGTTACAGAAACACAATGTGATCTTGGTAAGAAAACACAATATGTAACAGGAAAATATGGTCTCATTGTTTTTTTTGTTTATCTGTAGGCTTAACAGCATTGAAACTCGACGAAATACTTCATATAATGTCGATTGATTATCCAGATAAACATCGAGTGAGACAGAATTTTGTTTTCTTGGTTAGAACGTATATAAAACAGGCGATACAAGATCTAGTTAAAGGCATCTTTGATAGTAGAAAATGGAAGAGTTAGATGAATATTATTTCACGAAGATGGCTGCTCTCAATGTTCGCTTGTTCTTTATTGTTTGCCACTAAACGAATAATATGTCGTTAGAAGCTACATATCTTGCATACTACAAATTTTTCTATAGTTGGAAACGCAAATCATGAAGTTGTCTAAACTAGCTTGGATTGTGTACAGGCCACTATAATTTTCTTTCTGTAAGTCCATAGTTAATCGAGAGTTTATTTCATCAAATATTCACTAATATTTATAAACCTTATTCTAGAAATAGTACTGTCAATAATTAAGATTTTCAAAAATAATCTTTTCTTCGTTTTAAGCAATTCAATCAAGTATGGCAAAATAAACGTCGATCATTTATCTCACCAACTGCAGCTGTTCCACCAATTTCTTCCAGCACGTCTTCAGCTACACCCTTATCTCATGCATCATCTTTGTTATCTGCAGTTCAGCCAACGACACTTCCAACAGTAACGCAAACAAACGAAAATGAAAATGAAAAAGTCACTAAATCTGTGAGTTTAAGTTTATTTATATAAATGCGAGGCAGACTCAATTATTGAAACTTTTTTCATTCTCGAAAATGTGGGTCAAAATCTCACATACAATGTTGTTATTTTCTTCAAGATAAATGATCGTTCAGCAAAACAACCTGCACTCAATATTCGCCATGATATAATTCGTTCTACAGCTGAGTATAATCAACAAATACAAAAAGAAAGGCGAAAGGATAGGCGAGCTTGTTTTGATTTACAAACAATGGTATAACAGAGATAAACAATACGAAGTGCTCCGATTATTAAAAATTTTCTCATTTTAGCAAATTCATTTTCCAGCTCACACCCAATTTCGTTTACCTCCCAATCTTAGTCAAGTTGGATCTTATCCAGTAGCTCTTGTACCGGGACAATACCATGATGCCTACATAAAGTAAGATCGTGTTTAAAATAAGCAAAAGAAATGACTTGTTGTAATGAATGTCGCTGGCAACAATACGTGTTGATTTTTAGGTATACTTCCGATGAATTGAAATATATGCCAATCAATACAGCTTTATATTATTATCCAAAGCCCTTATCATTAATACAAGCCGAACGTTTAGATCAGGTAGATATTTTTCTAAATTTATTTGTGATTTTTACTAGAACAATGTTTATCTATCCAGGTTGCATCGAGCGATGAGGAAAACGAAGACGAAATGGTGCTAGGATCATCACCTCAAAATCAACAATATATCAATATTTCTTCCGCTCCGATTCAATCACACCCGCCTTCTGTCGCTCTTCAATCTCAGCAAATTCAGTCTTCACCAGTTTCAAATAATACTTATATTGAGTCACAGTCATCTTATACAAACGGTCCATTATCTCGTACATTAATAAATAAACAAAATTCTTTGAACAGTCACAATAATCAAAGTGCAGAAGAGCTTTCTTCATCGAATAATAGTATAACAGCGATAAATATGTGTTATGTGTGTAAACAACAACGCTCATCAAAACAACAACATGATGATCTATTCGTGACATGTTCAACCTGTTTACATCGTTCTCATCCTCATTGTCTTGATATTAACTTAGAAATGTTGCAGATTATTCAAACGTATCAGTGGCAATGTATGGACTGTAAAAATTGTTCAACATGTAATAAACCACATGACGAGGTAATCTTAAGCTACTTTCAATTAAGTGTTTAATCAATAATAATTTCGTTTTAAATTTCCTCAGTTTACAGACGTTCTGCAGTCTTAAATATCTTTGTTAATGACTAAACACTGCTTTATTCGTATTCTGCAACTCGTATTATTTGTTATCATAGGCAACTATTCTTATTTGTGTTCAAAGGCTCAAATGATGTTTTGTGATCGTTGTGATCGTGGTTATCATACATATTGTGTTGGTCTTCAAGCTATTCCTGATGGATCGTGGCAGTGTTCAGCTTGTGTGATATATAAACGAGAAGCAGTAACACCGCCGCCTCTATCCACAACACCACCGATTCCAAAAAACAAACAGGGAAGAATAGCAAATAACAGGTAATAAAAAACAGTCGAAATAGAACGTATATTAATGTCTCTAATCTTCTAAAATAAGTGACAAAATAAAACTTTTTAGCTTTCTTTACTATTTTCTAATCCTTCATCAAGAAAGAATTCTTATCGTTTCTCTTAATCTCAAATTATTTTCATTTAGTCGTTTATCCTCATTGCCAATCACTACTACTACATCATCTTCCTCTACAGCACCCAGTCGTGGTCGTGGCAATTCTCGTCGAGGTCGTGTGAAAGCAGTTGTCAGCTCGTCTACTAATCATTCTTTTCCATTATCCCCATTGAATACGTCTTCAAATTCGTCTACAACAAACGATGCTTCCACACCACTACCGCACATGTTTGTTCAACCATCGATACCGTCACATGATACATCGCTGAACAGTTTGAATCCAATTCTAAATTATTCTCCGACAATTGCTTCATCTTCACTAACTTTAAACGCTAACAGTTCGAATCTGAATCTCGTTGATTCAAAACATTCATGGACAACAAATAATCAGAGATAGTATAAACAATTTAAAAAAAATTTTTTTCTGTGTATTTTCTATCTTGCGTTGTGCGAGATTAAGAATGTTCTCTTCGTGGACAATTGTATTTTTATTTTTATTTTGTGTTATTTTTGTGTTCAAAATTTGGAATCTACGTCTCTGTATGACTCGACTTATTTTTTATTATCGAAGAATATCAGTTTTTGGCCATTTGATCTATTTCAACTCTTGAATCCAACAGTATTCTATTACGTAAACCAGATTTCCATTGCTTGCAAAATTATGAGAAGACAATCGATGGATATTATCTTTTATTTCGTAGTTTTATTAATACGTTAAAGTTCGTATCGATTAACTAGAGGAAATTTTATATATTTGGCTCGATTAATGAAGAAACATAGCACTATCGTCTGATAAATATACCTTCACAGTTCTAGATTCATTGAAAAATTTGAAAAACCACACATTTTACTATAAAAAAAAAGAAATACTCTTTCTATTCTTGTGCAATCAAGGGTACCCTCTCTTTCTCATTTCTTGTCTTGTTACAGAATTGTAACAACTAATCGGAGAGAACTAGAATTTTTTATTAGAGCATTATAAATTGGGCATATGTTTTGCTCAGACCTTAGAATTAGGTATGGTTGTCTGGAAAAACAGATTTTTTATTGCACACTATATCGAACTCAGCAAAACCTCATCCCTTTGAACTGAAATTTTGACTATAGATACTAGGCGTCAATATGTCCAGAGGTTTTTCGATTTAGGTCTCCAGCGTATAATGTTGAGGATTTATCGAAAAATCTCGTAGAGGACTCGATATTCATGTTGAGGCTTCCAGAATTCAGTCACCGTCCGTATGAAGAAAACGTGCGGGAGGACTAAACTGAAAAACATCAGACATAATGGAGCTCAGTATCTATGATAAAAATTTCAGTTCAATCGGATGAAGTTCCAGTGGGATCAATATGGTAAGTAATGCGGGCGAGTCGTGGTTTGATACAGGGACGTTAGAACACAAAAATGACTTATTTCAGAGCTCTTAGCAAATTGCTGAAAAAGTTTGAATAGAACATCGCGAAAAGCTAGAAAACATTTGATTTTGAAGAAAACTCTTCAGTCTACAAGACTAGTTACTTGAACAAATATTGTTTCACAGGAAAGAAAAAATAACATTTTAGAAGTTAAAAATCAGAGAGAAGCGGCAGACATTTAAAAATTCATATCTTCTTAATGATAGGTCGTAAAAATGTGTGAATGATCTCAAATTGTAGCGAACACTTGATTCTATCATACACTATGCTTAACTCGATCAAAAGTCGATCATTTTTTGTTTCATAAGGGGGGGAGTACTCTTAAGGACCTCTTTCATAGAGAAAGTTTGATACTTTTCTTCTCGTCTGGGATCAATTAAACATGTCTTTTTTTTCTCTTATTTTACGATAGCTTAGTTAAAAATTCAATCGAATCTGAAGGAATTGTGAGAGTTAGTAATAAGTTGTAGCTTTTCACATTTTTTCTTTCAAAGTTAATAGTAGACACTCTTGTTAACCTTCATTTGCCAATCCAATATGTGTGTGTGACATGTTTATATTTCTCATTTCTAAATAAAGAAAACACTCGTTTTCACTTTCTGTCTTGCTTATGCCTAAAATTTCCGAAGACTGATCATACTTTGTTTACATTTTTCTATAGTTGACGACTTTGTTTGCTAATAGGCCGACGCTTGTTATTCTTTTCTAGAAACTTTGATATGTACATACTATTCACATTTTGTATATAGTTCTACTACTAACTATCTTTCATACTTCAAAATCTGTCAAAGAAATGATATAAAAACAAGTTGATTTAAATATTTGCTCCGTCTTTGTGTCCAAATCTAACTCAACATAAGAATAGAATTTTCTTTTCGTTTTGGTTTTTTTTTATTTCACTATTGTTCTGTTTTGTTTATTCTTCTTTAAAAATATAAAAACTATATTCATTAATAGAAAAACAAATTTCTAACCATTATTGGTTGTTTTTTTCTTTGTGATAACAAACAATGACGAGAACTATGTACGAATGGTATCATGAATCAGCTAATTCTGAGTACTTTGTGAAAGTACACAAGATGATACGTACGTATCAGTTTAAATAGCTTTCTGTACAATTTGTTCATGATCAAAAATATCTAGGTGTCAGAAAAGAGAAAAGGTCTTTATTTTAGAGTGGAAAATTTCAGTCTTATTCAGTACGTGTTTGCTCCTCTTTTTTTCTGTTTACGAAGGTGTCTCTTAAACATGATTACTGTTATATCGACTGCGCATAATCCCAAGCATAAAAAAATCTAGTATCGTCCAATCCATCTAGATTACTAGATTTTTACTCGATTGCAACTATTGGGTAACGATAGTGGAAATCTAGTAATCCGGCGATTGCTAGATTTCTTCTAGTTGCAACTATCGATTTATCGTCCGATAATCGATTGATTTAATTATTCTAGTTACACATGCAGACACATCTAGTTAAAAGTCTCTTTTCCAACTAGTAATCTAGATGGCAACTGGTCGTGTATTGCCCGATTATAGACGAAATGTATCTAGATTTTTCCCATAAGTGATGTTTGCTTGGGGACGGTCGTTGTTTATCAATTATGTTGTTTTTTGCAATCACCCTAAAGTGTATATTATTTATGTAAGCAAATATTTATTTGTTAACTTTAATATAGATAAACGTAATGGCTGAAAAACTAAATGAATTTGCCAACCGTTTCGCGAAAAGTTCGCCTAGTGTTAAAGGTCTTGGATTGGGTGTCAAGTTATTAGCTGGTGCCGGAGTAGCTGCATATGGACTATATCGATCCGTATTCACAGGTAACTATTTTTTATCTTTTACTTAAGAACTTATGTGTAAGCTATCGTCTCTCGCTTTTATTTGTAGTTGAAGGTGGTCATCGTGCAATTATATTTAATCGAATTGGTGGCATTGATCAAAATACAATTTATTCAGAAGGATTACATTTTAGGTAACATTTTTGATGTAAATAATTAGATTAAAGATTAAGTTTGTAGTTCAGATCTATTCAAGTTGATAAATTTCTGAGATTTCAAGCAATGAAGTACATAGATATACAAATGTTAAGAATGTTTTCTGTTTTGTTTTACACACACTTACTAAGTATAGTCTTTACGTAATTTATCATCTTCATTTGTTTCTACTTCTTTATAGAGTTCCGTGGTTTCAATATCCAATTATTTATGATATTCGTGCACGACCACGTATCATTAAATCACCAACAGGAAGCAAAGGTATATGGTCTCCTAGATTTTGTGTAGTATCTTATTCTTATTGTGTTTTTCTTTTCTCATTTCAGATTTACAGATGATAACAATTGGTGTGTGTTCTGTAAAGCATGAATATTACTTGTAATATCACGTGTTTTCATTTTGTTTTAGCCTTACGTGTCTTAGCACGACCAGATCAAGGAAAACTACCAAGATTATATCAGACATTAGGACAAGATTGGGATGAAAGAGTGCTGCCATCCATTTGTAATGAGGTATGCAAATGTTGAGAGAAATTTAAGAATAGTTGTGACTAACAAGTTAAGAATTTTAATAAAGATTAAAACTAACAATTACAATTCGATATTTCGACCTATTGATACGGTCATTTTCAAGTTGCTCTTCATACAGAATGTTACATGACCTTGTTACATGACCTTAATTAACAAAACAATTAATAACAAAATGTTAGTGTTAAGAGAGTTTTAGATATTTCATATTTAAAATCTTCATTGTGGATGTTGAATAAAAACAATCAATGTATGACAGTATTCCTCAGAAACTAATTGCTATTCTAGTGTCACATAAAACTAACGAAATGATTTCATATGACTTTTAGTCACAATATTTCACGGGAATATCTAATTTCTTGTTTAGATTACCAAATTTTCTCTGACGAAGAAAACAAACTATTTTCATAGTTTCATCTTTAGTAATGCATGTTTTCAGTTCAAAAACTAGATGATTTTTGAGTAATTTCACTTTTAACATTACTGATTTACTTTGCTCCCATGTCTCCTCTATGAAATTTTAAAGAGAGATCTAATTACTTCCTAAACATACAGTTGTTATCAATGGTATACAAGTAACATATATATTTATATTTAGGTATTGAAAGGTGTTGTAGCAAAATTTAATGCATCTCAATTGATCACTCAACGTCAACAAGTGTCAAATTTAATTCGTATTGATTTGATGGAACGTGCCAAAGATTTTGATATTCTATTAGATGATGTATCAATAACAGAACTTAGTTTTAGTCCACAATATTCCGCTGCAGTTGAATCAAAACAGGTCAGTCAAGAACACGTCTTTCTATTCTATTGTATATATATATATATATATATTGAGAATATTCTGTTAGGTCGCTCAACAAGAAGCACAACGTGCTGTTTTCACTGTTGAACAAGCCAAACAAGAACGACAGCAAAAAATTGTTTTAGCTGAAGGAGATGCTGAATCAGCCAAACTTGTATCCTTTATTATGTTGAAAAATTGACTTTTAGATAAGAATTAGACTATGATATTTTCTCCTTAATAAATTGAAATAGATTGGAAAATCATTGAGTACAAATCCCGGTTATTTAAAATTGAGAAAAATTCGTGCTGCACAAAATATAGCTAAAACGGTAAGTCTTATTTGCTCGTCTAATTCTACCTGTATTTATTATTCTCTGTTCTATTTATTATAGCTTTCTTTGAGTAGTAATCGAGCATTTTTGGATTCCGAAGCTCTAATGATTAATATTGCTGATTCTAAATATGATGATGCAACAGCGGAATTTACAAGAAAAGGAAAAAAATAGATCAGTATTACAATCGGTTTTATACGATGATATTTGCCGTGCAATGGTTGGAACCTTTTTTTCTAGTACATTTTGGATGCAAATATCTATCTTTCATTAAAATAAGAACGAACTTTTGTGCGCCAGCCAGAGCATTTGTTTTTCTACATTGCCTCGTCTACATGTTTGTTATTATGTTATTTCCTTTTTGTACAATCACATGGTTGTTTTTTATAGACTTTTTTCTACTCTGTCTAAAAGATTCATTGTGATTTTTGTTGTGTTTGTATTGAAATAAAGATTTAAGGCAAATTATAGGAAATGAAATAGCGACACTTTATTGTTTATATTAACAAGCTATTATTGACACTTACTCAGAAACGCGGATTTCTAGAAAAACTTTTTTCATCAAACAATATCAGTTGATAGAAAATACAATTTTGAACAAAATGACACCTATCCGAGTGTTCTCTAACATTGCGGAGGCTCAAGACAAGTTACTTTATTTTAATAGGAATGATCCAGAACCTTCAAACGAATATCTCAGCTATGAATTGACCCAGAATAGCCGAAAATAGTTTATTTTGTTCAAAACTGAATTTTTTTATCAACTGGAAAGTTTTCTAGACAGCCGGGTTTCTAAGAAACCGTCTGAAAATCTCGTGGAGAGCTCAAAAGTATTTTCATTCAGTTGTGGGATGTTTTTAACCTATTTCAGTAGGATTTCACTGTGTTAAGTTTAAAATGATAAGCTTAGAGAAAAATCAGTTCGCCATTTTAATAAAAAAGGTCATCTTTTTAATAAAATTGATTTTTCTCAAAAATGGTAAGAAATATATAAAAAAAACGATACATACCTTTGTTCTCTGTTGACTACCGGTTCGAATGGCATCAAAAGATTGGCTTCATTTCTAAACTCAAAAAACTAGATAGATTTATAAACTCGACTAGGGACATTTTAGGGGTCCAGTTCTCGCTCAAAACTTCGATCGAAAATATTTTTTCTAAAAATATCTTTGGAATCTGAAAAAATTAGTTTCGGGCGTTCCAAAAAACATTCAGATAAAGTTTGGTGTGTGTTTTCAAAAATGAGCCGTTTTTTCCATTTTTGATGTACCTCCAAATTTTGAATTTCCCGCAAAAGCATTTTTTAAAAAATGAAAAACTATTTTTTCGTAATCACCTCGACGAGCTCTATCCAACAATGTTTAAAAAAAATGAAAAAAAGAAAGTACTTGAACTTTGAATTATTAGCACTTTAAGTTGTTGTAAATTATTATGCACAAGGGCAAATATAGTTCGACTTATTACTATTTTGTGTAGTATCGTATAAAATATACTCATTGTTACAGAACGAAGCTCGAGTCTTTCTGAATTTGTAACTTGTAAAAAATAGTTCTGTAGGAATCGGTGGTTATTGAAATCTTTGTATATATCTTATTTTTTACGTTTTTTATCCGTAGATTTGTCTTGTATCGGTTTGTTTTCGGCTAAAAAATCTTTCTATGAAGTGTACACTCGAACATCAACATCAACAACAACAACAACATTGAAAGTCTCTCTACGAAAAAAAACAATAATTCAAATTCGCCTTTTTGCCACTAATTACCACAATTTATTAATGAATAAATCAACAAATTATAAAGTTGGATAAATTTTGTTAATAGTTCTCAGCAGATAGATGATAATTGTTCATATTTTTAGATTACAGGACCGTATCAAAACGTTGATATTGAAGAGCAGAAGCAAGGTAAACAACAAAAACGAATTGAAAATGAGACTGAATTATTTAAACAAATCATTTTATGTATTAAAATTCTGAATATATGGCAGTAGCGTTCCAAAAGATTCTCGTTATTTCACGCTTGTAGATGTAGAGAGAAAAATCTAGAATAATTATTTGCGAATAAGTTTTTGTACAAAAATTCAATTACTTTCTCGAATTGTTCGAATAAAATACAGGCAATCTAACGTATGAACTACTTGATTCAAAATTTTTTTTTTTATGTAATACATGTTTTTTTTTTCAAAGCTGTCCATCATGTATTAGAGAATTCATTTCCCTCGCTATCCGTGACAAAAAATGTTTCAGATCAAAATCAAACGTAAGTGTTTTTCATATCAATTTTCTTTCGGAGTCTCATTATTACGATTTTTTTAGTAGTTCGACGAATAAAAAAAATAATTTAAGCCAACCGGTAGGTTGAAAAAATTCATCTACTATAATTTTACGTTATCTTCATGTGATTTATTTTAGACTTCTATGAAACAAATTGGTATTCATACATCCCGTTCGGATGGTGTTGAATCTGAAGGTAAACACATGCCGTAAAGAGATTTTGGGGAGAGGTGGCTATATTTCATTGGTAATGATAATAGCCTCGTTCTGATCTTGAAAATCATCAATATTATGGCGATTTCTTTTGTTTGGAAAGAAGTCTAATTTCTGATCTAATATCTGCACATGCACATTATTTTTGCTAGGTCATCAGAAGTCGTGGTTGACGACACTGGCATGTACGTAGTTTAATTTATGACCTATCTAAGAATAATAAACATTCATAAATGTTTATATTATATCTTGCATAATTAATGAAGCACACATAAGCTACGTTGTGTTTCATTAAATACGAAAGATGTGTTTTTTTATTACAAATTTTGAAGAGCGATTCATTTTCTTGTTTTAGTATCGATTGTTGGTTATTTAAAATCAACCCCAGTCAAATTTCAAACGTAAGAAATTGAACATTGTTTTTTATCGTTAAATAATATTTTATCTGTCTTTTTCTGTATAATTTTAGACTCGATGATATCATACGAGGTTTTCCGGCTGTTCTGAATGCACTAAAAAAGTATGTATTGATATTTTGGATTTTAAGAAAATTACTAACGTGCTCCTGTTGTATTTTAGAAGACAACCATTAACCAAATCAAACGTGAAACAAACTCCAGCTGAAGTAAGGCATGTGTGTTTTTTGTTGAGTAAATATGTATGAACAATGTTTACTTTTTGTTTCGTAGAAGAGTACAGTGACTAATGGTTTTCATACTGTTAAAATTGAACAAAACTTCATACCCTCTGCAACGCTTTCTATATCACAACCAAATTGGAAACAACGTCAGATACTTGGTATGTGATGGTTATTTTGTTGATATTTAATTAATGATAGTTAGTTGATAGTTGATCTCTGATTTAGCGTTAAGTGAAGAACAAACTCGAATAGCACAAAATGCTCTATTTGGCTCAGATAGTGAAAATCTTGGTAAAATATTCGATCAAACAATCACACGTCGTGATTTGAAAACACTGAAAGGCTTAACATGGCTTAATGACGAAGTATATTCTATGAACTTCTTATTTTTTCTAGAATTATATAGTCTGTTTTTTGTTCAGGTTATTAATTATTACTTGGGCATGATATGTGGTGAAAGCGGAGTAAATTGTTATCCAAGAGTGCATTACTTCAGCACATTCTTCTATGAAAAATTATCAAAAGAAGGTGCAGAAAAAATGACTAGATGGACTCGAAAAGTGAACATATTTGCATATGATATTATTCTAATTCCGATACATTTAACGAATCATTGGGCGTTGGCCGTAAGTTATGACTGAGAAAAAGTACCCTTATTGAAGATTTTATAGTGGATACGAAAGATACTGGATATAAGGGTGGAATGAGTAAAGAAAATAATCGTTCATCAACAGACTGAGGCTCTAATTCATAAAGACGAAACTGTAAAAATATCGGCGTGAGACATATATCTTCATTCACTCAACAGATTGCTTATATATTATTACATCGGATCACCCGACCGATATCATACTGACTACATTGTGATGTTCAATACAGTTTCTTCTGTTAGTCGTCGTGGCTTACTGAAAAGCTAGTAGGTGAATATCGAGAGCTCAAGTAATTGGACAAAAAACCTGTAAGTCAGGCTATCCCTCACAAGACAACTATCGCTAATGACTAGTAACGCCATTGGTAGCCATGTTAGAAGCTTATCAACTATAGCTAAAATATCAGCTACTAAAACTAGTTACGTCAGCAGCCTGCAACGGCAATGATATCACAAGGTGGGATTTACTTCCTCATTTTAGACTTTGAAATCTAATAGTTAATGTTTAGCTATTTTTATTATGTAGACAATTGATGTTAATCAAACACGTATTCAATATTATGATTCATTAGGTGGTTCAAACGAGTTGTGCTTAGCCTTATTATATTCATTTGTTACAAACGAATACAAATCAAAACTTCAGCAACAAATACCATCGACGTGGAGAGGACAACAAATGACAACAATACCGGCACAACGAAATCGATCTGATTGCGGTGTATTTTGCTGTCAATTTTCAAAATATATTGCTCGTGAATGGCCTATCGATTTTACACAAGACAATATGCCACAGTTTCGCACTCAAATGATCTACGAAATCGCATCAAAAAAACTTTTGTATTAAATTGTTCTAACTTTCGTGTTCTGGTCTTTCATATACATTTGTTTGTTGATTTCTCACTTGTGTAGATCACTGTGGATGTAAAAACACACACTTTTTGATATATTCGTTGTATTTTAGCTGGTTCTCAGCCGTTTTTTATCCAAAAAACTTAATATCGAAATTTATGGTAGATCGAACATTTTTCTACACGCTGATGCAAAATCTTGTAAAAATGTCAGGTAATTTTCATGCCAGATCTCAAATGTCGAAAACTCCATTCATGTGTCTCTTGTTATCTCAAAGTACTCTAACTGATTTTTTCACGTGCGATTTCTTTCTCATTGTATGTACTCAATAACATGGTTTTTTTCTTTTTATTTGCTTGAAAAAATAAAAATGGAGTCAAATAGTTGTAAAAACAATTAAAAGTAGATCAGATTTTATATTTGTTGACTTCTATAGAGAAAAGACATGGATAATGTTGGCTAGATTCACGATTGTTACGTTTACGTACAGCAGACTGTGCATTGACATTGTTTTTAATATCGATTTTTGAGAAGAAAAGTTCCACTTAGGTCACTTATAAAGTTCAAAGACTTCAAGACATCCTACATTCAAGTGCATATTCGGCGTAATTTCTAACTTCCATGCTATAGAGGTGACAGCCTGTGTGACAGCTCAGATTTGGAATGCATGCTTCATTACCACACTATTTCTTCCTTTTAACCTTTTTTTCATTTATCAATCTCTCAAACTTCATCACTCATGTTTGATAAATGTAATATTTGACTATAACATATTTTCAATCGTCTACTATTTTTAACATTGCCATTTATTAGTGACGAACACTCAGATTTCTTATCATCAAATTTTCATGGTTTATTTTCGTGAGACTCAACCAATAAGTATTAACACTATTTACAATTTTGCTGGTTTTATGTACTTTATGTAAATAGAGAAATCATGAAAAAATAGTTTTACTTAAATATTATCTTTCAAAAGTGAAAATGTTCTTTCATCCCAGTTTGAATATGCTTTTAAATAACCGATCACGTTTAATGTTCAAATTCTTGTTTTACTGGATGAGAGTAAAAGTTGATGGTTGATTCAATAAATCACCTCATTCTACCATTCTAACATACTCTAACAATGAAGTTAAACAGTTAGACTAAAGGTAAATATTTGTTGAATGAAGAAAAGGCTCAGAAATTGTTAGTTTACTAAAGTAGCGTTAAAGTGACAGAATCGCAGAATGTACATTAATGTTTTTCTGTTGATAATCTGTTGCTTACAGCAAAATCGAGATATCTATCTTATTGCTATACATATCGATTCGAATATAGTAGAGTAGCATATGATAATAAATTGAATTTTTTCTAGAATCCGTATTACTATTCGGGAAAAGTATTTATATACTAGAGCTTTGCGGACTACGAAAAGAGACAAAAAAACCGGCGAGCCGGTCTTAGTGGCGGAGCCAGGAGTTTGATCTAGAGGGGCTCAGCCCAGAAATTTTCTAAACTCCGTCAGAGGTAAACTCATTTAAATTTAATGCTCGAAATCTATAAATTTTTTAGAGGAGGCTCAGCCCCCTCTCGCTCATAGCCGGCTCCGCCACTAGCCGGTCTAGAGACGAAATTCTATTCTATTTGAAAAATAACGTTCTTTTAAAAGTGAAATTGAATAATAGGAAGGTGTGTTAATTACTTCGTCTAAACATTATACGCAAAAAAAGTTTACTGGTACATAAAAATTGAAGCGTTAGCACTTTCGGTCATTTAGCCGACATTTTTTTTACTCACACGACAAGATGTGACGCGATCGGACTGAAAAAAAATGTCCACGGAACAGCATTAGGTGATTATTTTTTCAAAAATCTCTGTTTGCTATAAATCTCTTATATAATATGTATCATATAAGACACGGTTATATTAGTTCACATTACAAAAATATTAATTCTTTTCTAGATTAAAGTTATATCAGATAACGTGTCAGTTTTTGACGACTTATGTGAAGAAACTCATCTTCAATAAACTTAGAACTTTGATAATTGTTGGCCGATGTATAGCAGATATTGTGATAGACCTAAAGTAAGGGAAAAACCTTTCGAGACAAAATAGTAGCATGTGCCCCTCAAAATACACACATAAACAATAAGAAGATGATATGAACGAAAGTAAAAGGAATGGCGTATATCATCTTTTGGAGATATAGAGTATATAACATACACCATAAACA